TTACTCAAAGCAAAACACCCTCACCCCTGAAATAGCTAGTCTTGGGATTTTACTCTGCTTCACATTGCCTCTAGAAACCATCCCATACTCAAATCACATTTCCCTAGATGGAGTCAAGTATGTACCTTGCCCAGTTACTTTGACTCCATTTTTGATACAAGCTAGAATAAAGAATAGTGAATAAAAATGAACTTTTAAATAAAAATCCTTGGCAGTTGATGCTGTCATTTATCAGAATCATTTAAGAAATGAGAAACAGAAAATATACATTTTAAAATTTATCATTAACTTAAAAGAACCCTAAAAGTTTTATATATAATGACCAAGAAAAAAATTGCTTAATTTTGGAAATGCCATGCTTATTAGTCTAATAATAAATTGAAAATCACAAGGTCATCATTTTCTTTAAATACAAATAATATTCAGTCTCTTGACTCTGATAAAAGTTCCAAAATTTAATGATATATGTCAGTGGCTTAACATAATTTTTATGAAATATTTCTGTATTAATCTTAACCATCCTTAGTTTAGTACCTGCTCTTAAAAACAACATTAAAAATCTTTTATATCATGATTATCCCTGGTTATATAAACTTATTGGGAAAAATATTTTTATCATTAAGTACCACACCAGAGGGCTTAATTTAATCCTTAACTGTGAAGATTTGACACTAGTTATGAGTAAATATCCAACGTATCTAATCAACAAAAACAAGATTTTTCATACAATAGAGAGGGCAGTGTAAATGTGATTATCGAATTCTCAATATGGTTTTTACTTAAAAAGTACATGACAAGCATCCTTCACAGTAGTTGGTGTGTAATCCCATTGGATTTGATAAGAAATTTCTTCATGAACACACAGTAAATCAGGCATAAAGAACTTTAAATGTATAACTATTAAACAAGTGACATGATGTTACATACATGGGATACAACAGTTATAGAAATACATTTCAGGAACTTAAAAGACATTCTAACCCCAAAGCTTATAAAGAAATTTTAAGAGAATAGAAATACGTGGCAAATGGGAGGGAGTGTTTTGTTTTGCTCCCTCTTTGATTGCAGCAGTATTCTAGAATACAATCCTCTTTGAATCTGGGGAGATAACACTGTTTTCCATGCCTTTGCACTTCATTTTCTGAGGTACATGAAGTAGTAGAATAGATTTAAGTTAACAATATTTTTTGTTTACATGTTATCACTAAAAAATCAATTATTTTACTTCATGCCATTTGAAAACTAATTGTATATAACCTAATGGAATTTACTTTTTCTGACCTGTAACTTGTAGAAAGTAGAAAAGTTGTCTATTGTAAAATTAACTGGAATTGAAAAACTTTCTAAGTTGCAATAACTAACCAGATTTTTTTTTTGAAATGCAGTTGATTACTATTATCAAGCATGAAAGATTCTATTATTATACTGGTAATAAAACAATAATAGCCCTCCTCACAATTTGTGTCCATAAGCATGTTTAGGTGTTTATCATTGTGATAGTTCAGGTTTAAGTATATTCAGAACTCATTTTACAAGCATATTTACTTCTTTGATTAAAAAAAATGCACACTGGGAGTGAAATTCAGTATCACTACGCCTAATACTTTTGCAATTAACTCATCAATGATTTGTAATAGTTATTTGATATCTAAGAATCACTCCAAGTCTTGGAGCACTTAAAAGTCATTTTCCTCAGAGACTGGGAGTCATCTTTTGCCAAGAATGAATGAATTCAAATATCAAAGTGTTCATGGGTTTGTAGAAATTCAGAAATAATGAAGTTCAAATGTATTCTATATTCGATAAAATTATCTCATCCTTATTGATAACAAAATTTCAGTAACATTAATGACATCTTACATTAAATCTTTGAAATACAGCAAAAAAGACAGATGCATATTATATGTATAGCATAAAACCTTTGTAACATAGTCTTTACATAAGAAGTCTCTCCTTTGTGTTATTAGCGCATAATGAGGGGACTAGTTGTCCCTTTGTTCCATAAGATTGGCAGGTTTTGGAAACAACACCTTCTCTACCCCTTGTCCTAGGAAGGTATCCATACTTCATCCAGACCTCTTAGTAGGGGGTTCCAGTATCAACATGTTGAAAGCAAGCAACACATACAGTCTGCTACTCCATTACCACAGTTTCTTATAAGTCCTGGTGTTTGTTTTCCTTCCAGGCTATGATCATTCTTAGAAACTGTCTACTTCCACAAGACCGTCTTTCATAAGTGTAAATAAAACTGGAGATTTAAAAGTTTTAGTTAGAAACTCAAGTCATCCAGGTATCTGTAAAGTACACAAGGGCTTTAAAACCAGTCTTCATTCACATTGCGCTTGTCACTCAGGGGCAATTGGTTCATATCTATCTCTTTGAGATGACACTGCGTGACATTTAACATTGATATTCAGCCTCTTTTTCCAGACCTCCAACCAGGTTGACAGTAGTGATGACGATGGTCCCTGCACAGATACCTGTGCAATAAAATACTTAATTTTGCATGGGCTAATTAGCAGGTGCCAGGTGGTATTATTTGGAGCAGTGGTTCTCAAGATTTCAGGTGCTTCAGGATAATCTGTAGGGTTTGTTAACAGAGTCCTGGACGCCACCCCCAAAGTTTCTGATTCAGAAGATCCAAGATAGGATGGAAATTTGCATGTCTAATATGTCCTTAGATGAGGCTGATGTAGATGGTTCAGAACCACATTTTGAGAATCACTTATTTAGAGCAAAGGCATCTTAACTTATGAGTCTGTCCTTCACAGGCAATCATACAATGCTGCCTCCTGGATCCTCTCTCTCTCTCTCTCTCTCTCTCTCTCTCTCTCTCTCCTTCTCTCTTGCTCTCCCTCTTTCAATCTCACTCCTTCTTAAACAATAAAAAAAAAACTAGATATATTACAGTCTTAATAATTTAGCTCTTATTCTGAGATACCACTTAGACATTAAGGCATATTATCAATATTACTTGAAGGATACTCAAACTATTGAAAATGCTAGCTCTCATCACAATCTGAGTATTAAAACACTCCTTTCACACAGCATAAACAAAAAGTTCCCAAATGTGCAAAGGGAAGGAAGGAGAGAGTTATAATACTTTGCTTTTGTTATCTTTCTGTTAATTAGTAATATAATTTCATTAAACCTTATATGTGAGGGTGGTTTTTGTTTTGAGTAGGAAAAAACACAAGGTAGTCCCATACTCTAAAATGGGAAAACAACTTGTGGACAATTTGCTTGTGTTACTTCTTTTGGAAAATGATGAGTTGGAAAATAGCATGCAAATGAATGAGATAATTTTTATCTTCTATAAAAATCTTTCTTAAATATTATTCTCTATATCTTTCGTTTCAGTAAAAATAAGGATATCTGCTGCTGTAATATAAGAAGAGCAGCAAGTTTCATGAACATCTCTTTTACTTCAATTTTTAAAAAATATTTTATTTATTCATTCATGAGAGACACAGAGAGAGAGAGAGAGAGAGAGAGAGAGAGAGAGAGGCAGAGACACAGGCAGAGGGAGAAGTAGGCTCCCTGTGGGGAGCTGGATGTGGGACTTGATCCCGCGTCTCCAGGATCACACCCTGGGCCGAAGGCAGACGCTCAACCACTGAGCCACCCAGGTGTCCCTTAGTTCAATTTTAAAATGAATATTTCAATTAGAAAAATTTTTCAGAGGGACAAGTTTGAAATATTCAGTGCTTTGGATTGCAGATCTCACATTTGTACAAAACACTCTATGTGGCTACTCATTTGTGTGTGAGTTTGGAGCCAGTACTTCCAGACTAATCACCTGTAGGCCTACGTGGAATTTGATGACATCAACCGTGTCACTGTAAGAATCAGAAACAAAACAGGAAAGCTTTACTGTTCATGTCTCATGTTAGTTGCTTCACTGCCCCACCCACATATGAATCTGTCCTCAAGAGTGGTTTGCTGTCTGGTGAACTCTATCAACATGTATCCCTCAGTAACCTAGAGCTCTTTTGAAGGCACATGTACATCTTCCCTAGATGTACCTCATTCTCCAGCACCTAGCACAGTGGATGCTCATATTTAATAAATGTTTATGAAATTTAAATAAATGTAAGTATTTACCATCAAATCTCCATGGCAGTAGTAACTGTTCCATAGGGGACCCAGCTCTGACTCAGTAGTCCACTACTCTTTTTCTTTGTAAATTGCATTCTTAATTTAATCCAGCAAGGACAACTACATCATTTTTATTGGTTAGAAGAATCCTATCTTATTTTCAAATGTTGAAGTCTTTTCTTAGAGATGGAGATTGTTATGTATTTGTAGTTACTCCAAAATTATTATTTTAATACAGTCTTACTGGCCATTGTTGTGATGAGAAATGTTAGCAGTGGTAAGGTTACAAACCTGAGAAAATTGTGTAAATGGGTGATAAAATTCAGGGAAAATAAAAGTTTAATAGTATGTATTTTTAAATATTTTTGAAAGATAGCTTTTGAGTTATCTCATATAATATACTATTTTGTATATAAATATTCTCTCAAACGTCACATCATAATGACAGTCTTTTGTGATTTTTGAAACTATGAAGTCGACTAACATGTCTGTTGTAAATTCAGAGTTAGTAATTGCTACTTCTTTTAGTAGACAAAAGAAAATCATTGGATAACTCTTGGTAACTTTTTGCAAACAATCTGCAGGTGAGAGATTAAAATAACAATTAGAATTTAAAATATTCAAACATTTAATGGACATAAATCATAATACGTGAAGATAAAAGTGAAATAGCCTAACGTAAATTCAGTTGAAAGTCAAACTTCTAACATGTTTAAATCCAAAGCTGAGAAATTATTTTAAACTGACTTTTTTTTATTTCCAAAAAGCAATAGATTAAAAAACAAAAAAGGTCCACAACGTAATTTTAGCTTCAGATCATTAGGGTAATAAAGTTTGTGTACACAGAGATTTTTAGAAAAGAGTAGTTTTCCTCAGATATCCCTGTCATATGAATGAATGTTCTACCAGTTTTGAAGTGGCCCCGCTCCATTGGCTGCTGGGAGTGTGCTTATGCTGGTGAGCACAACTTGCTCTGAGAGTTTTGATACGTTGTCGAAATTGCTGATCTGGGTGGTCAGAGACTTCCGACTCTCTGTACTCGTCCGGCCCCGGGTGAGCCGGTCCTCCTGGCGATGGTGAACTCCAAGGCAACAGCAAGAAAATGCAGCTTTAAATTCCTCTCTAAACTTTCCTGGCAAACCAGGGAGAAAGAAAGGAAAAAGAATTATGTGTAAATATGATTCAACAAATTGTGCATAGGGTACCACCCAGTTGCTCCCTTGAGCCAAACTAGCAATGAGGTGCAGCATTTTGCAAAAAGGGGGAAATGGGAAGAGGAAATGGCATTACGGGAAGCTTGCTAGACTCTTGAAACAATAAGCTATTTCCATAAAGTAATCTGACTGCCTTTCATATGGGATTTTTGGAGTTTGTTTCACTCTCTTAGAGTCCCATCTTCTATATTTGTGATTGGGGGCTATTATAGATAGCTATAATAAAAATGATCATCGGTAGGATGTTCAGAGATACTTAATAATTTCAAAAATGAGGAAACCTGTGTTGGATAGAGCCTGAATATTTTGAAATTACCCCTACATTAGACTCCGAAGAAACTGTTCTACTGGCACACTCAGTTCAACAAGGTTATCTAGAAAAAACATCTTAAAATATATAGAAAATTTCTAAAGTTTCATAATCTCTGTAAGGCAGTAGAAAAAAAAGGAAAAACTACCAATTTGAGAAGTTATTTCTTATCTTTACATTACTGATGTGAAATTGGAGAAGTATGAAAATAAAAGTCATTTTTTTTAAGGATAAATGAACGGTTTTGGTGGTCATCATTTCTCCTCTCTGAGCTTCCATTACCAAACTGGGTGATTGAGTGATTACACAAGAAGAGAATGTTCAAGGGACTTGGACAATCACAGGCACATATCAAGTTCCCAGGGGTTCTCAGCCACCTACCCTGCCTCACTCCACCCCACAATAGCACTTTGACTTGGTTCTGTTGCTTTGACTTCAAACACTTCTCTCTATAGACTTCTGTAGGTTTGATCTGCTTAGTGCAAGGCTCGGGGCTGTAGTCATCTCTAACCCCAGTGGCTTCTCCACTGCTTTCCAAGCCACAATTCCACATGGCCCCTTGACCCCTCAAGGGAAGCACATGAGCAGTGAGTAGAATTTGGTTATCTCAGATCTAATGATGTCTTTATTCTGAAGATGGGTTGGATGTGGCAGGGGAAGGCAAGAAAAGGGGCAATCCAATCCAAAACAAACCCCACATATACACCACCCGAGTCTCTGAAAGGTGAAATAATGCAGGTATATTAAGGGTATATGCCATGATTGAGAAAAAAAATTGTTAAAAAAAAAATCTCACTGGGTAGTTGGTCCTTTTTTTTTTTAATAACCCATACAATCTACAAGGCCAAAGATGAAGTTGGAAAATACACATACTTTATTAAGTATGCAATAAAACGAATTGCCTTTTCTTCCATATCAAATTATTATATATTTGGAGATAGCAATGAAACAGAAATAGCCGAGCAGTGAGAGAAGACAGTGTCAAGATGTAGCTAATTAAAACACAACTCTAAAGGTCAGTCAGGCAAAATGTTTGTAAATAAAACAACTAGATAAATGATTTTTTACAATTCTGTAGGTTCCATAAACAGAGAAAGATAAAATCGGTTACAGATGTGTGTCTGTGTGTGTCATTTAGCTTGTGTGTTATTTAGAAGTAATATCATTTTTTGTGGTCAGTGAGAAATCTTGAGATAACCCCACGAGATGTTACTCACAAGAGAAATGTAAATACAGAAAAATACCCCAAAGTGGAATGGTTCCAATTCAGTCTCAAGGAGGCAATCTCAGTGTTGGCAAAGGAAATAATATAGCAAGCCTGTTCTTTTTTTTCAGACAAAATTATTTTACATTTTGGTAAATCGTAAGTTTAATGTATGACAAGCAAAATTCTGTGTTTTCCAGTTCCTACAATTTTCACTTTCCTCCTATTCAACATTTCTTTTAAATTTTACGGGCGAATAACTTAGATGATTTTCTCTGATGAGTTAGGTAACATGTGCTCCCTTTCATAAGGGAAAAATCTCACGATGAATTAGATCGAGGGGAAAAAATATCTCATTGTATAGCAATTACGCTTTTCACATATTCCGAGAGCATTCAAAACCTTTTGGTCATCGATCCGTTGCGCTTAGCTGGGATTGTGGCTTATGTTGAAGGAACATTTGAAAACTCACCACTGAGAAAATTATAAATAATTGGGTTCGCAGCACTATTAGCATATACAAGCCAGTGTGAAAATGTAAACCAGGCATATACGGTCTCTCTGTCTTCCGTGTGGGTAAACATCCCAAATACTCTGTGGGAAAAACAAAACAAAACAAAAAACAATGATGGGAAATCCAGGGTGATTCTGAAAAGTATTTTTTAAATAAGAAAATTCATGAATGAACATAGCCCTTGATGGAAGCTGCCTAACCTGTGTCTTCCTCGGCAGCAGGCATTGGTGTATGGCACTGCACTGGGTTTAGAAACATTGCAGTGCCTGAACAAAATCTCCATCGCACAATTAGTAAATCAAAGGCCAAATGAAGTCAGAGAATGATCTTTCGCTCCTATAAACAACAAATGCAATAATACTATTCCTGGTGGGTAAGAGTACAGAAGTTGAATACATATCTGTGTCCCTTCTTTCGTTTCGTTTCTAAATACGACTGAACAATGTTTGTTACTATGCCATTTTGTGTGTCATTTATTTATTTTTTTAAAATATTTTATTTCCTTATTCATGAGACACAGAGAGAGAGAGAGAGAGAGAGAGAGACAGACAGAGAGAGAGAGAGAGAGAGAGAGAGGCAGAGACATAAGCAGAGGGAGAAGCAGGCTCCATGCAGGGAGCACGATGCAGGACTCGATCTCGTGTCTCCAGGATCACACCCTGGGCTGCAGGCGGCGCTAAACCGCTGAGCCACCCGGGCTGCCCTTGTGTGTCATTTAAGGTGCACTCCCAAACCGCAGTCTTTGAGAATTACTTCCTACCTGCCTTTGTGCATTGATCAAAGTATAATCTTCCGAGCCTTGTTGTAAGTTGCCTTCTGGGACTTCATTACAGCCAGAGAGAAACTAGTTTTCAGTAGGCAAAATTATGGTAACTTCCTAAAATTCCTGGGTTTTAGTATTTTCATTGGTTATTTAAACTCTGAAAAATATTTCATTATTTTAAACTTAAATATCATTTTTAAGGGCAGCCCCAGTAGCTCAGCGGTTTAGCGCCACCTTCAGCCGAAGGCCTGATCCTGGAGACCTGGGATCCAGTCCCACATCAGGCTCCCTGCATGGAGCCTGCTTCTCCCTCTGCCTGTGTCTCCCTGCCTCTCTCTCTTTCTCTCTCTGTGTCTCTCATTAATAAATAAATAAAATCTTTAAGAAGTATATCATTTTAAAGATTTGTTCCATACTCAGAAATATTCCATCTATCAAATTCTATTCACTAGCCAACAGCAGGTCACTTGTAACTACCCAATAAATTTTATAGGCTGAAGATTATGATGCATTTCCTGCCAGAGGCTCCATTACTGATTGTGTAATTCGATTACATGTGATGGTGCCCATGATAGAAATGCATTTCTGGAATAAAGTGATGCTCTGTGGAGTACTGGAGTTTTACAAAAATACAATATGGAGGGAAATAACATGGACAAATCGAATTAATGGTATGTTATGACCCTCTGGCATAATATGTCTTTGAAATCCTAGACAAACTAGAACTGCTTTACAGAGGCTGGTTTTAAGGAGTCAGACAAAAAACTGTTTTAAGGAAAACAGTGTAGGAATGTATTGGTAAGAGACAGGAAACACAAGCATAAGGTACAAGGGCAAGCAAAGGGATAAGCATTTGAAGAAAATGTGTGTGGGAAAGAAAAACAATTTCCAAGGCTATTTAAAGTGTTTCTCAAATTTTGTGGAAAAGAGCAGAATGCTCAAAAAAATGAAAATAATTTAACATAGACTTTCTTCTTAGCTGTTTATTTCCGTTGGAAAGGGAGGTCTTTAAATTAGAAAAATAAGGAAAATATTATGGACAAATAAATATTTGGAACTAACTAAAGAGCAAGTACAAGTGCTGAGATGCAGAGAATCCACATGAGCAGTGCAGAGAACAGTGAATCTAACTTTCATTGAATTTAGACAGACTACCATAAAAGTACAAAATTTTTTTTAAATGACTACTGAAATTCATTCAGTAGTATAGCATGTTTACAAGATTCGTAAAAGTAGAAAACAGCATCTAGCCAAAGATCACAATAGATTTGTATGGGATTTCTGTGGTCCAGAAAAATCAGACAGAAATTAGGAGGAGATGTGGAAGGCAGAGTAGCTTTCAGTTTCTCGTGAGCCAGTATGTATCTCAAGGCTTCACACTGCCGAAAATCTGACGCCTTTAAGGCCATGTCTGTGCTAAATAATACTACCAAACAAAGGTTCATTTTCCATCAAAAAAGTTATTAAGCAATCAAAAACAAGGGCCAAGAAGAATGAGAAATCTTTGCAGCTGGTTATACCACCTTTACTGTGTGTGACTCCAGCCAAAGCTGCCGGCTCTCCAGAGCCTCCAGCTGTGAGGAATATGATATTGACTCTGAATCAGGGAAAAGTGAGAGGAGCAATCCTAGTTTAAGTTCGAAGCCTATTATAAACAAAATTACTATTACCTTGGGGCCAGTCTGTTTGCAACAGTTATGATAATTCCCAATAAAGTTGGCTGGCTGTGAAGTTCATGTGTACCGTGGCCCCTGCATCGCTGTTCGCTGTTCGGTTGGTCAATTGTTTTAACTGAACAGTGTATCTGTAGCCTAACAAATAACACACTTTCTCACCGAAACGTTCTGCGCTAATTTTTATTAATAGTCACCCTGAGCCCTTGATTCAGTGCCTTCAGGAAATGGATTTTTTTTCCCCCTATTTAAACATTCAAAACACAGTTTGAGCTGTGATTCCATTTTTTTGTATGTGCTTACAAATGCACTTTTAAGTATAATTAGAATGCTAACAAAACATCCCTATCTCTTTTTATCTTTCTGTCATATTCCCTATGTATGAGGACAAAGTTTTGGAAAACCTGTTTGTTCTGATCAAAAAAGAGCCCCAAGCTGTAAATGAGGTTTGTTTTTTGGTTTTTCGTTTTTTTTTTTTTGTTTTGTTTTGTTTTTTTGCATTAGAACTTTTTCTGCAACTAAGGCTCAGCAATTAGCTTGAAGAGGTCAGGGGAACATCTGTTTTTTGTCTGCCATTCAACACAGAATTTCCAGGACAAGAGCCTGTGGAGTCTGAGCATTCTAAAAGGCTCTCTGCCTTACCTGTTGGGAACAACAGCACTTTGAGTTATCTGGCCTAACAAACTATCTGGGCAAAGGGCTAGGGTTTTACTCTGGTTTAAGAAGAAGAAAAAGAAGAAGAACAAGAAAAAGGTTTTCATTAAGAACCAAGAAATGACAGTCACTTTATTTTCAAAGAATACATGAACTTTACCTCTTTAGCACGTTGAGGATGCTAATTGGTAAGTAGCAAATTGCAAACACCAAAAGTACAACCATTAGCATCCGGGCTGTTTTCCGTCTGGCTCGGATCTGCTTTATTTCAGCGGCCACAGCACTAATCCTGGACTTGGTCTGCTGTCCTGGCCCTCGAGGCTGTGAAGCAGGCTGCAGGGGCTTCCATTTTCTCTGAACTACAGATGATGTTCCAGGGATCTAAAAGGAACAGAGACTCTTTATTGCCATCTGACTCAGGGAAGTTCCACTTTGGAAAACTAACTAGAAAATACAGGAAGGAGAGTGTTCTGGATACTTGTGGTCCAGGGAGCCGTGAGGGCCTGTTTCCCTAGAACGTTTGCTGAGCTGAATATGTTCTGGAGTAATACAGTTGAATATCAACTAGGAGTTTGGAAAAGAAGCTGAACATCTCATTTTTGTCAAGGTCTAAAGAGAGCTACAAATAGCTCTTTATAAACCGAAAACAAAGTTGTACATCCAGATGATGGAATATTATTCGGTGCCAAAAAGAAATGAAATGCGAAGCCAGGAAAAAACATGGGAAACTTAAATGCATATTACTAAGTAAAAGAAGCCAATCTGAAAAGGCTACAGAACTAAAGGCTACAACCATATGGTATCTTAGGAAAAGTGAAATCAGAAAGACAATAAGTAAGTCAGTGGTGGCCAGCGGGTGGTGGTGAGGGAGTGTTGGGGGGCAAATGGCAGAGCATAGAGGATTCTTGGGGCAGTGGCTAAATGTCATTATACATTATACAATGTATTTGGATACACTATCCAAACCCATGGAATGTACAACTTTAAGAGTGAACCCTTAGGTAAGCTATGGACTTTGGATGACTCTATGTCACTGTAGGTTCATCAGTTGTAACGAATGTATCACTTTGGTGAGGGATATGGATAATGGGGAGACACTGCATGAGTGGAGGTAGGAGGCATTTGGGAAACTTGCGTATCTTTCACTTGATTTTGCTGTGAATTTACAACTGCTCTTAAAAGCAAAACAAAGCAAGCAAACAACAACCAAACACAACTCTTAATTAAAAGGAGAGAGAAGTAAAAACTGGCAAAGACCTGTAAAAGGACAACAATATCATCTTGTTAGGAATTCAGGCTCAGCTCAAATACCTCAGTTTAAAGAGAGGGGAAAACCCAACAGGTAATTGCAAAATAACCTGAATGGATTTTTTTTTTCATGCATCAATACTGCCATCTGCTGCCAGATGGACAGATAGGACTTAAATACCTAGTGCTTTTTATTAGATTTTATTTCTCAGGTTTGGCCAAGGCAAACCTTGAATGAGGGAATAAAAAATAAATAAATAAAATACTCTCTGTTGCTTACTATTTCTTGTTATGAAATTGCTTGAAACCAATTTTGTGTTCCAGCCTGGCCTTTAAAATGCATACAAATACAGTGAGAATCCCTTGTGGTCTTACATTAACATTTCAAATAGCTGGAATTTGTAATAACAGTTATACAACTTGTACTTTTCCATTTCTTTTCAAAGTTATTTGATAATAGCAGGGAGTCCTTCCAACTATAATATTTTCTTAATTGCAAGCTCACGAAGATTGATAGGGTTTAGTGAGCAAAACAATAAAATTCAGCACACATAATTTTTTAAGAGGAAAATGTGCCAACAAGAACACCATAGCCCTGTGTTCATTCTAAGACTCCATGGTCCTCTTTGTTTTGTTAAGATTATTCAATTGTTGCTTTTATCTCTGTGCAGCTAGCCTGCACAGACGCCATGCGCTCCTGTATTCTCTAAGAATGCACATTGGATGGGCTCTGTTGCTTTATACATCACAAGAACCAGGTGTTTCAGATAATCTTTGCAAACAGAATTTTACTTTGATTTCTACACAAATTCATATGGAGCTTCTTTTGACCATAACTATTCTCTCTCAAAAAGTAACAAAGTTAATGAAAATATGCCCTTAAATAGAAAAACATTTGATAAATTATATCTCTTCTGGATCTATATGTTCTGTCATGTAGACTCATCTTTCCACATAATGGTGATCTTATACATTTTCTTATCTATCTTACTGGTGGCATGTGTGGGGAGGCACCGAGGATCCTTCTTCCTCTGTGAGTCTCTTTTTAAATAGTCATTTTAAAAATAACTAAGAAGAAGCTGCAATGGATGTTGAAAAGTTCCAGTAAAACTCTAACATGAGTAACCATATAAATATCTGCTAAATGATCTTGAACAGTTTCCTAAATGAAACTTTGGCAAATCTATCACTGAGTGCTCCCCTGAAGGAAAGAAACAAAATTACGCATCTGGTAACTTCCTCAACCTTCAGAAACAGTATCCTCATGAAGGGAAACTGCCAGTGGGAGTATGGCTATGGTCCCTGCACTCAGAAGGAAAAACAAAGAAGCAAAATCAGTCATAATGTCCTCTTTTAGATGATGATCTAAATAAAGGATGGAAGATGTTTAATCCTGAACTCATCTTGAGGAGACCTACAAATGTCCCCATTGAGAAGTTGTATATGTCTACAGAAAGTCAGCATGATGATAATAGAAATCACTGATACTAATTGAGCTCCAGGAACACTGTATAGTCTTGAGTAATTACTAATGTGTTCCTAAATGTAGACTATTATAAATCCCACTTAGAGATGATCAAGCAGACAGTGAGAAAGTTTAAACAAAATGTCCATGTCTACGTCTAACAAGTCAGAATTGGCACTCAGGTCTGTCTGATTGCAAAGCTCATCTTTTCCCATTCTCATTAAGGCTTCCATTTATCAACTTCAACACAATGTGTTATGGAAGTCAGTAAATTTTTAAATATATGCTTAGTTACACGAAATAATAGTCATACAAAAGGGCACTGAGAAATCCAGCCTGGAAAGCTGTCCATGTAGGAAGGCCTTTCCCTGTCACCTCAGGAAGAGCTCAACAATCCCACCGTGGAAAGCATGTGCATGCATGCGCGCGCGCACACAGTCACACGCATACATACACACACACACTCTCTCTCCCCACTTTTATTCCTTCCACTATTATAAATTTTAAAATCATCTTTGATCATCCTGGAAGAGGTATGAATTCCATTCCAATTATGAATTGGAAATATCAAGGCCCATAAATAATGGATTTTGAAACCTGCTCTTTCATAAGAAGTATTTGGACCAGGATTAAGTTATAAGAAAAGGCAAACATGCTGCATTCATTAAAAGAATAGAGAATATTATGAATAATGAATAAATTTCCAAACTTAAGTGAGATGGATAAATATCTTAAAAAACAAAGATTACCAAAAATGACACTAAAGATGACCAAAGTTGATGCTATCATACCAAACCTTGCTACATAAGACCTCCAGGCCCAGATAAATCCAGTGATGAATTCAATCAAACAGTACAAAATAAATAATATCCTTCTTATTCAGACTCTTTCTGAAATTCAAAGAAATAATACTTTCCAACTAATTTTATAGGATTACAGTTACCCCAATAATCAAGGACATGATAACAAAAGAAAGCAATTGACTATCTCTCATGAATGGAGATAAAAAATTGCTTAAAATATATTATCAAATCATATTTAGCAACATACAGAAAGATTAATAAAATTCACTCAACAAATCAGATTTATTCTAGCAATTCAGTGTTCATTTAACATTCGAAAATTAATGCAATTTATCATATTAACAGAATAAGAAAAATATGACTATCTCAATATAAGGGAAAATCATTTGAAAAATTCAACACGTTTTCATGATAAAAATTTCAGTAAACTTGTAAACTAATGATAGCAGGAAACTTTATCAACTTGGTAAAAGTCATATATAAATAGCCTTTAGCTATCATCCTACCTAATGGGGAAAGACTGAGAAAAAAGCAATGAAATTTCTCACTGCTTCTACTCAACAATACACTGGAGATCCTAGCCAGGAAAAGAAGACAAGAAAAATAGATAAAAGGCATATAGATTGATTTTATTAAGGAGATACTATTGTTTACAAAGTAAATCCTAAGGAATTTCAAAAAGTCCACTAGAACTAATATGTAAATTGAGCCATAAGCAGAACCCCAGATCAATAAACAATCAGTTGTATTTTTGTGATATAATGGTGTTTTATATATATATATATATATTTTTATATATATATTTATATATATATATAAAATCAATCATTCAGATGACCAAAATATATTTCTCAGATAGATCCGATCTCCATCTACAATTCTTAAAAATGCTTTAGAGCTGTAAAGATGTAATGGGTCTCTTGTTATTAATAAAGGTAACCTAAGGTCCCGAGCTAGTTGCCAGAAGGACCAACTATTAAAGAATGGTAACTTTTAGTCCGACCCTCTGACCCCTGAGGAGGAGAGAGAAGCTGGAGTTGTATCAGCCAATGGCCAATGACTTAGTCAATCATGACTACATAATAAAATCTCTATAAAGATCCAAAAGGACAATGGGTTACAGAGAGCCTCCAGGTTGGTGAACATATGGAGATGTATGGTGAATGGCAAACCTGGAGAGGACATGGAAGCTCCTTGCCCTGTGTAACTCTTTATCTGGCTGTTGATTCATATCCTTTAGCATATCCTTTAATAAGCTCATATCATCTGATTTTGAGATTTACATTAAAATCATATACATAATGTATATATATGTATATGGGATTGTGTGTATCTCAGAAAAAAGAAAGAGAACCAGTCTGAGAAATAAAATTTGGGAAATCACCCCATTAAAAAAATGCCTAGAAAATACATCACCTAAAAAATGCTGTACAGTTATGAAGGAACCTAGTAAAGAGTCACTTAACAGTCAGGGAAGGGTGTAGAAATATTCAAAACAAAGAGAAGCAGAAAGACAGGAGAGCTATGGGAAGGTAGTATATAAACAGTGAAACCATGAACAGCATTGCTCAATGCTGGTGAATGATCAAGCAAGAAATCCTTAGGGAAATGGGTCAGTTGGTTAAGCATCTGCTTTTGGCTGAGGTCATGATCCTGGAATCCTGAAATCAAGCTCCACATAGGGCTCCTTCTCTTCTGCCCCTCCCCCTCCCCACTTCTCTCTCTCTCTCTCTCTCTCTCTCTCTCTCTCAAATAAATAAATAAATTTATATGCCATAAATTCACCTTGTATGGGGTAATTAAGTAGGCTTTAGTGTATTCACAGAACTGTGCATTTATCACACCATCACCTGGAAATGAAAATC